GACGGTACCGGAGGAGGGCCGCGCCGCCGCCGGCCCCCGGGCCTTAGTTTGCTAAAATAGATGGGGTCTCTTGTGGCTTGGTGGTTAAGGAAGAAGACTTGGGTCTGGAAGGTTTCATGTTCGAGTCCACCAGCTGCCAAGTTACCACTGAGGTTCACTGAGCATGGCACCGTGCCCACGGTTGACTTCAGTGATAGAGTGTTCACTGAGCATGGCACCGTGCCCACAGTTGACTTCAGTGATAGGTTAAAAGCAGAGGTCACACTTCATTGTGTGCCGTAGTGTGCCGTGTCACAATGATAAGTAGTTCACTTTCACTCCCATCAGTGTACCATGGGGTATCTCATTACCTCATTACCTGTACCTGGAAACAGCACATGTTCTGTGTGGTTTCACTTGTAAAAATGTTTGGGGGGTTTTGTAACCTTGTAGCCAACACATTTTGTTTCATTATCTTGTACAGCTGAGGCATAAAAGAGAATGTTTTTATTCATAGACTCAATTTGTGATGAAGCAGGAAATAATGACACGAATAACAAACTCATTTGTTCTGATCCCCATTCAGGGAAGACGCCAGTGAGTCGTCCTGCGTCAGTGATTTCCATGTTCACCTCCTGGGGTCAATTGGAGCTAGTTTCTGTGGCGCAGGGTATTGATTGAGGTTTTAGTGGTTAATTCACTGCAGTCATTTTCACAGCAGCGCTACAACTTTACACTCTCTCTGTGACTGTGAGCGAACATGAACAAATTAACACAATCGGCTCTGGTTGGGAGACAACAGGAACTAGTGCCAAATTGTTAGTTTATCTTGGTACAATTCTTTCTTGCCATCACTGAGCCTTCACAGGACATGATGTTGGTTGTGATAAGGCCACACTGTCATCATCTGTCTCCTCCTGCTTCCCTGAAATGTCTAGATCTTATATTCGGCAGAGACTGATTCCCAAATGTTTTCTTTGGTGCATGAGTTTTATTTATTTATGATCGTGAGCTTTAGTGGTTTTAAACTTCTGCGTGGAATGATCAACTGTCTGTATGAGTCACAGATACATTATAGTTCTGAATACTAACCATGAAGGCTTGAAGGTCAGCACATTCAGCAGCCTCTTCCATTTCTGCTCTAGTTAACCATGTCGTCCAGTTCTATACTTATTAGTATAAATCTCCCTGAAACCTTTACGCTGATTTGTACCATAATGACTAAAAACAACGTTTAAAAAAAGCTTATGTAATTCAAGGACATTAATGACAGAAACACAGCTAAGAAAGTACCCAAAAATAAAAGCCAGACAGTAAATGAACAAAAATAAAAAAAATAACTCAATATTGGAAAAACCAATAAACCAAGATTATCTATCAATCTCACTCTGGGTCAAGAAGCAAAAGTGGTTTTAAAGCAAGATTTAAGGACTGCAGCTGAAAGGCCAGTCTGACGAACAAAGATTAAGAAGTCCTTTATTTCCAAAGGGAGTTGCTTTTGAAACGTTGATAGAAACAAAATCATTTTGTCTGCTTCCTTGATTAAACAAGGAAGGTATAAGGGAGCAGCAGGGCAGACAAAACAAATAAAATAAGATCCTAAAACAAACAGTGAGCCAATGAAGAGAGTCTAAAACCAAGGTGCTATGTTACATTAAGAAACATTGTTTTTAAATGAACATACTATAGTTATACCCATTTTCTTAGGGCCAGACCTACTGTTAGGACTGCTGCTGGTGTGATATGTAGTAGCATCATTAGTCTGACACTGACACTGTCTCAATATTGTTGGCTATGTTGTAGGTTCGTAGGTAAACAAGTAAACGTCAGAGCGTAACCACCACAAGATGGTTCACTAATTGCTAAGAGTTAGCGGTCCAAATAAACATTCAAGAAAAAATTTGAATGCTAAGGTGAAAAAAAAATGAAACAAATAAATAATAATAATTAATAATAATAATTTACCCACTCAGTATTACACCATGGCCTGTTTAGGTGTACACAATCCATACATACTGGCAGGAACTGAAGAAAGACTCTTACATTTAGGTGTACACAATCCATACATACTGAACTGAAGGAAGACTCTTACGTTACAAAGATGTTCGGCAAGACTGAGTTTCTGCCACCTAGTGGAAGAGCATTTCATTGTTGCTGCCTGTCACTCCCAGATGGAGGAGCAAACAAAACAATGATGTGCTGTGAATAAATAGGTTTCCGTCAAATCAATAATTTCCCGCAGCACCTCTGATGAACTCTCACGGCCCGCTGGTGGGCCACGCCGCAGTGTTTGGGGGTGGCTGCCACGCCGCAGCACTCTCCGC